ATCATACCCAATTTCAGTTGATTTTTCTTCTTATATATCCTTTTTGTGTTGAAAATTTACAGTTTATAAAATGATTTTTTAATACTTTTAGATTTGTCCAATGGTGAAATAATTCAAGATAATTTTCTTGTTACTCGATAAATTTTTAAATGGTGAATAATGTGAAACTTTTCAGATACCAACTGACGTGCGGTGGGCGGGCGAGCTGGTGGTGGCGGTGGAGGAAGCGGGACGGCTGCAGTGCTTCGATCGCGCCCTCTCGCTCTTGCACCATCATACGAAGTGCTTGGACTTAGTGTCACATTTTAGGTAAGTAGTGTAGAGGGCATTTTTATTTTATTGATTAGTTTAAATGTGTTGGAGAGGGGAGCAGTTTTATTACATAAAATTTAACTCTATACAATTGAAGCAAGCTTTAAATGTATTTTGCACGTCTTTGCTTATCAAAAAATAGAGAGAGAGAGAGAGAGAAATCTTATCTTTATGAAGATAAGATTTCTCATCTTATTTCTATTTATGAATAGACATTTAAAAATGTAAAATTAAACAATAATAAAAAAAGTTTGAGTTTATTTGCTAAAAAAGATCTGCTTTGTCCCAGTATGTGTAAATGGATCATAATAGAGTATTTAACTGTTTCTAAATAGACTAGCTTTTGCCCGCGACTCCTCCCGTGTGGAATAAAACAACAAAAGCAAGTAGCCTATATGTTATTCCAAACTATCCTCTACATCTATGCCAATTCTCATCGAGATCTCTTCAGCCGTTTAGGCTACAAACTCTAAAAAATATCCATCCATCCATCTTAACTCTCGCATTTGTAATATTAAATAATAATTTAGTAATGTTGTCATGTTTTGTATTTAAATGTATTTGAGAATAAAAAATATTTTTTATAGAGATACGAGAGGTATGCAAGTGATAGCGACACGAGATATGAAGACTGGTCCGTTGATACTGGCGCTGTTTGCGGGCGGACCTCTCACACTCCTGCATATCACACATCCCAGACTTTTAACGGTAATATACACTATTTTTGTATCTAGATGCAAAATTATTTAACACTATCTGTTGCTCGTAATTTTGTCCACTTGTAATTAAATAATAGCACAAATATATGTTACTCAGCGATAACTGTTTAATGGTAAAAGAATTTATGAAATCGCCCCAGTACTTTTTGAGTTATTTCAATCCATACAAAATACAAATCTTTCCTCTATATAATATTAGTATAGAAAAAATATTAAAGTAATAAGATATTGCAATTATTTTGGCGGGTAGATCTATTTCAAAATGTTAAAGAGGAAAGATTTTGGATTTTTGTATGTATTAGATTCACGTAAAAACGACTGTGCCGATTTTAAAAATTATCCCACCGTTAGAAAGATACTTTATCTGTGAGTAACATCGACTATATTTTTTTTAATTTCAAGCGACGATGTTGCAAGTAACAGCTAGTACTAAGTAAACTAATAAAATACTACAGAAATATTTTTTTTAGTAATATGGCGCTTTTAGAAACTGTTGTCGATTATCATTCTCATATTTACAGGCATGGATGCGGGCGGATCGCACAAGTAATGCTATCTCGCTCTTACGCGCGATGGACTGGGAGGAGGAAGGAGTGGAGTG